TCTGCCTCACAGCCCAACAGCCCCCGTCGGTTTAAAACAGCGCGACCAGACTCTCTCAGGCAGCTCTCATCTGCTTTGGACGCACTGATTCACAGGGTGAGCAGACCCTTTCAGATCTAATCCGGTTTAAATGCTCACAGCGTGAACGGCCTTCCACAGGTGCAGAGTGGTTCCCAGTGTCATCTCCTGCGGCCTCATTAGGACTGGATGCAGAGAGAGAAATGGCCGCTATAGTGGGGTGGGTATCACCTGTGTCTTGACGAGCAGTGGACCCCGGAGCTCCCTGTGGTGTCAACAAAACATCAGTAATTGGAAAGAACGGATCGGGAGGCATTCAAGGCCACTGCAGAGATTAGTTATCCTGCTGAGCAGCTCCTGACAGAGCTGTGGACTGAAAGTCACCTGGCGGTGGTCGGCGACGGGAGCGCCGCCCTCACTGTCCTGTCGGTTCCCTGGCCCTGACCGCCTCTCTGTGGATGGAGACAGGGACATGTCTCAATGTCCTGTTGCCTGCCCGCCTGTCAGTCCACCCGGTTTCTATAGTGTTGACTCCATACAGGATCAGGAGGGAGCCACAGCCTCTCGCAGCAGGGGACGGACGCAAAGCGGGGACACCCTGGCCGGGACGCCAGTCCATCGCAGGGCAGATGGACACAAACACAGAAAGGCACTCGCCCGCCCCAGGGCCAGTTTCCCCAGAAGCCAGTTAACCTACCAGCACATTTGGACTTTGTGGGAGGAAACTGGAGCATGTGGAGGAAATCCACAGGAACATGGGGAGAACATACCAACTCCACGCAGACAGCGCCCCAGGGCCCCAGGGCCGAGAGGCAGCAATGCTACCCACTAATGCCACTGTCCACATTCCCCACGCGAGGCCGAGTCCCAGAGCAGACTGGGGAATGAGTCCAGAGCAGTGTGTGTCGCAGACAACATGTCTGCCTGCTCCCGACGAGCCGTCGTGCCCACAGTTCCCAGGATTCAGTGTCTGTGCCTGCTGAGAGTCACTCTCGCCTGGCTGCAGTTACACACCTGCTCCCCTCACCTGGTGTGAACAGACT